AAAGCGGGAAAACAGGGCAGACAGGAGCCGGGGCAGGGGTGAGACTTATCTTCCATGTTGCTTAGATTTTTGAACCACGTGGCTGTATTACCTCTTCCAAAAACCACCGAAACCTGCTCTGCAGCAAGCGCTGGAATGACGCAGGTTAGACTCCCAGCCCCGCACTCACCTGAGGGCTCGCTTCAACCCATCTGTCACCGCCTCCTTCCTTGCCTTCTCCAGAGATAAGGCCTTGGACTTGAGGCCCTCACTAACACCGTAACCAACATCTTCGTGATAGGAACCATCCTGGGGGCAGAAAAGGAGTTCAAACTCAAACACGAGAGCGGCAGGCGCGCCACAACTCCCCCTTTCCTCAAGCAGCAGAGCTCAAAGCAGGAATCTCCCACCTGGCAGCCTTGCCACAGGGGCACGGGCAGAAGTCTGGGTGAGAATCCACTGCAGTGCTGCTTCCTAGACCTGGTCTGCCTGGACATGTGCCTGTGGTCACGGTGGCAAGACGATCCTCCCTTCCCACCTTCCCTCTGACACACAAAGGGCACATTAGAAACCCACCCCAAATCCTATCAGTGTGCATTACCCTAAGGTAAAAAAAACCTCTGGAACGGCCAGGCGGGGCATGGTGGCTCACGCCTGTAATCCCAGCCCTGTGGAGGCCGAGGCAGGTGGATCACTTGAGGTCAGGAGTTCAAGACCAGCCTGGTCAACATGGTGAAACCCCGTCTCTACTAAAAATACAAAAATTAGCTGGGTGTGGTGGTGGCCACCTGTAATCCCAGCTACTCAGGAGGCTGAGGCAGGAGAATTACTTGAACCCAGGAGACAGAGGTTGCAGTGAGCCGAGATCGTGCCACTGCACTCCAGCCTGGGCGACAGAGTGAGACTCTGTCTCAAAAAAAAAAAAAACCTCTGAGATATCAAAAAAAGGGATAATTTGAATATTGGATCTAATGGTCTCTAAGGATTGGAGAGCAAATCCCTTTGGAAGTCAGGTGGCATCCAGCTCCTGCCTTTCACCAAAAGTGAAGGTGAACCTGAGCACATCATTCGCTGATTGAGAATTAAATACAATGTTTGATGACAGCGCTCAGTGATTTTTAAAAAATAACTCAAAAAGCACTCAAATAAATGAGTGACACTATAACAAAACTCTTTCCATTCTCAGCTACTCACTCATAGACACAAGGTTTTCTAGTACTATTTAGAAAAATAAGTCAGAATAGAACTAACGCTGAATTGTTCATTCAAGAAATAAGCAGGCTGGGCGTGGTGGCTCACGCCTGTAATCCCAGCATTTTGGGAGGCTGAGGTGGGCGGATCACCTGAGGCTGTGAGTCCAAGACCAGCCTGACCAACATGGAGAAACCCGTCTCTACTAAAATCACACACACAAAATTAGGCAGGCACATGGCGGACGCCTGTACTCCCAGCTACTCGTGAGGCTGAGGCAGGAAAATTGCTTGAACCCGGGAGGTGGAGGTGGCGGTGAGCTGAGATCAAGCCATTACACTCTAGCCTGGGCAACAAGAGTGAAACTCTGTCTCAAAAAAAAAAAAAAAGAAGTAAGTAATATTCAATTATGGCTATATGGATATATAAACTAACTGAAAAAACAGCGCTATCCATCTCATTAAGATACTCATTTTCCATAAATTTTATATTTTGTATTTTAAATTTTTTATTTTTGTGGCAAGATTTCAAATCTTTAATTTTTCTAAGTTATCAAAATTTTGCTATATTTATGTTTTCTCTTCACCATAAATACAATTGTCTGGTCAACTGTGTGTTAACAGTAGCTATAATACAACTAAATCCAAAAGAAATCTCTTAATATTTAGAGCCTTAAGTGCACTGAAAATTTACTGAAAATTTTTATTTTTATACACATGCAAAGGCAGAGAAGCATAATGAGGCTATCAATAAAACTTTTCTTTTTTATCACCCAGGAGTTCAGTGGCACAATCACAGCTCATCATAGCCTCGACTTCCCGGGCTCAGGTGATCCTCCCACCTCCGCCTCCTAAGGAGCTAGGACTACAAGCGTGCGCCACCACGCCCAGCTAATTTTTTGTATTTTTAGGAGAGACGGGCTTTCACCATGTTGCCCAGGCTGGTCTCAAACCCCCAGGCTCAAGCAATCCTTCCACCTGAGCCTCCCAAAGTGCTGGGATTACAGGAATGAGCCACCTCGCCCAGCCAAACTTTCAACCATAAATATGTATTAGGATAAAAACCAGTAGGGAAACGGAAAGGAAATGTAAGTTCAGATAAAGAAAGAACCATGTAAAATTTCTAAGATTAAAAAAAAAGCCTGTTCATTGTATTTCTTCAAATAAACGATAGATCTAACCCTCTATAGTATTTAGAGTCCACTGGAATATTTAACAAAGATCTAACAGATTTACGGTAAGTCCTCACTTAACATCTTAAATAACTGTAACTTTAAGCAAAACAACTTCTTAACAAAACCCAATTTTTGTTTTTATCTGTAACAAAAGGACCTGCTTTGCCTAAAGTTGAGTTTCCAAAAACTTATCAGTGATGGTAAAATTATTGTATTTTAGAACGTCAGATTTTACCACATGCCAAAAAATACACCCTTTGCAACAATTTTTATATGTGGTGAAAACTTTTAAGTGTCAACTTGAAAATGTGCAAGAGAACACTTTTTCCATTCTTGTAGGGAGACAGGAGCAACAGTATTTGAATCCCACCATTCTGGGGAACACTGGCTGAGACACAACTCTGCAGCCTGGGTCCCTGTCCAGCTACCCACCTCCCTACCTGCTCACCTTCTCCTACCACCCACTGATCCCTCCGCGCAGGTCTGCTCCATCCTCCTCACCTTCAGCTGGACCCTCACAAACGCACAGACTCCCACGTAGAACTTGCCATTGTTGAGGTCAACAAAATCTAGGAGTGGGAAAGAGAGCAAGTTGAAGAGGACACTGATCGCTGTGCCACAGCCATTCTTCCTGCTGGCACTAAGTCCACCTACCTCACCTCCTCACTCACAGCACCCTTTCACCAGGGCTGGACAATGCACAAGTCCCCACTGCTGCAGACTCACCCACATTCTGCTGCGTGATGGAGTGTGCCCAGCCATTGTAACCAAACATCTCATTGGCCAGATTAATTACTCGATGACCCTCAATGTAACACACCTAGAAAAAAAGTTTTTAAGGAAAAGCTGTGTTAATTCCTTACCACACTTAAATGTGAATCAAAATTTACATAATTTATTCCTCATCTACTTTTTTGGATAAACTGCCCTTAAACATTCTACTCGGGAGGCTGAGGTGGGAGGATCGCTTGAGCCCAGGAGCTCAAGGCTGCAGTGAGCTATGATCATGCCACTGCACTCCAGCCTAAGCGACACAGTGAGACCCAGTCTCTCAAAAAAAAATTATTTTTCAAGAAAATTCTCAATGAATTTATTTCAAAAATCTTCTAGATGGTGCCTGCGAGAACTAACGGTCTGTTGGGAGGAGGAACTCACCCAGCAGTTGCTAAAATTCAGTTTGCAAAAAGTATAAATCTCGGTTTGACATATTTTATGGAAGACCAAAAATATTCACAGAAGTTAAAATTAGAAGCAAATGATACGCAATTATTATGTGTCAATCATAAGTTCTTTAAAAAGCGTTTAATTAAAAAAAAAAAAAAACAGAAGCAAATGGCAAAAGGAACATTTTTTATTAACGGTGTAAAGGCTGGGCATGGTGGCCCACACCTGTAATCCCAGCACTGTGAGCAGCTGAGGTGGGAGGATCACTTGAGCCCAGCAGTTCGAGACCAGCCTGGGCAACATGGCGAGATGTCGTCTCTACAGAAAATTAAAAAATTAACCAGGCATGGTGGCATGTGCCTGTAGTCCCAGCTAGTCAGGAAACTGAGGCAGAAGGATCGCTTGAGTCTGGGGGAGGCTGCAGTGAGCCGAGATGACACCACTGGTCGGACTCCAGCCTGGATAACAGCAAGACCCTGTCTTTAAAAATTAAAAAAAAAAAAATGATGTAAAAAATCCTAAGACGAAATCCTCAGACGGCAGTTACGCAAGTGTCAAGACCATGCCTGGGCCCCTTCAGATGAGAATGAAGTTGGGAACCCAGCCCCTCCCAGCGACACTGGGAGGCCTCCAGGAAGTTAACAGGAGCCTTCCAAATCCCTGAGGACCCAGAGAGGGAACTGGCAAGACCATCTGAGTCTGTCTTTGGATGCCTGCTTTCCAGGCACAGGAACTCTCCTACCTTCTGGCCTCCTCCAGCCATGCGGCTACTTATGTATTCTGGGCCCAGCCTCTGCCTCAGGGCCTTCTGGATGGCCTGGTACTCTTCTGCTGTGTACTGGCACTGCAACCCCAAAAAAGAAAATTCCATTCACACTTCACCATTCCTCACATCACTGAGTCTCCAGCTTTTTGACCTCAGGACCCCTTTACACTCTTAAAAAAAACCCCCAGAACCTTTGTTTCTGTGGGTTATATTTATGCTATTAGAAATGAAAACTGAGAAACTTTTAAGGCACGCATGCCATCAGGCACCACAGCAGTGATGTCGCATATCACTCACGCAGTCTCTGAACACTCCACCGTTCACCCACGAGAGAATGAGTGTGAAAGAGGCAAACAGTATTATCATGAAGATAAGTCTGACCTTCTGGACTCTGAATCTGGGTCCCAGGATTACATTTTGAGAACTGCTGCCTTAGCTGCTGCTACCATCCTTATAAAAGTTTCTGAAGCTTAGGAAGCGACAGTGTCCTGCCTCCAGAGCTGCAAATGACGCCAGCACAGGAAGCGCGTATGGAAAGGGCACGGATAGGAAGACCTGCTTCCATTTGCCCTTTCCAGAGATTGACACCTGCTCCAATGCAACAATCTCCCGTCCTGCACAAACGGAAACACACGACTGCTTGCTGATTTGGGTTTTGTCCCCCTTGCCCTATTTGGATGAAACGAATACTCACAATTCTCTGGTAAAAACAAAGATGGAGTTTGGGTGGACAAAGCAAGAAACTTTTCTATGCACACAATGTCCCTACAAGGAATACGACCCCCAGGAACTTTCCACGCCTCCAAGAAAGACAAGGAGCCAGGCACGGTGGCTCATGCCTGTAATCTCAGCATTTAGGAGGCCGAGGCGGGCGGATCACGAGGTCAGGAGTTCAAGACCACCCTGGCCAACACGGTGAAACCACATCTCTACTAAAAATACAAAAAATTAATCCCAGGCATGGTGGATCATGCCTGTAATCCGAACACTTTGGGAGGCCGAGGCAGGCGGATCACCTGAGGTCTGGAGTTTGAGACCAGCCTGGCCAACATGGTGAAACCCCATCTCTACTAAAAATACAAAAATTAGCTGGGCATGGTGGCACATGCCTGTAATCCCAGCTACT